GATATGGAAGCACGTTCCTTTAGCCTCCTTTTGATCTGATCACGAGCACCGATATAGGTGACACCATAAACTGATGTCATCACTGTCTGCTTCACCAATTTCCTGTCCACCTATGCTTGATTTAGCACCAAGGATCAGAGAACAATCAATGGAAAATATAAACATCAGTTAATCTACCTACCACCAGTTCTGCCGGTTGCTAAACTAAAAATTTAGTGCTTGCATCAGAAAATTATATTTTCCCATTTTCCTCTGTAAGAAAGAGGTTAAGGCTTAGAGATCTCAAGTAGGCAGAGAACCTGATCTATTAATCTTTTTGCACGTAATGCATCCGGGAAAATTGCTGGATCTCTTTGTGCATCTCTTTGCATGATTTCTAGAACCCTGCAACAATTATAAATAAAGATTTCATGGTATCTTGGAAAGGGTAATACAACGCTATTGCATATCAGGGTACCAATATCACAACTTCTGAAAACAGTTTGGTTCCCTGACGAATCACTATTTTGCTTCATGTAATTTATCAAATATTTGAAATTGTATTGGGTAGGAAAGAAAAAATTTTAACCGTAAATCTAAATCCTGCCTCATTCTATTAAAAGTCCGACAAGAATAAAAGTTATTTGCATCCCTTCTGAAATTTCACCGATGCAACCATGAGCAATAAAATCACATGCTCTTTGCAGGACAAACCTAATCTTCAAGTTTATGCAGCATACCTAGCAGCTATCCCTGTGTAAACATCTGCGGGCTTCTCTCCTGTAACCAGATTGACAGCAGTTGCTCCTAACTGAACCAAAAACAGTCAATGAGACAAGATCCGAAGTCATAGGCATACAGGGAAAATTTGGATAGTTTTCAGAAAAATAAAAAGAAACCGTGATAAAGAAGTAAGTTCATTGTTAATAAATCAATTACAGTGTCGATGAAAAAAGTTTTAACTTAATATAACAGAAACATAGAGTGAAACCAACGGGACAATAAAAAGTAACAATGAGGTCCATTCTGAACCACTTCCAAAACCACAAGAATAAATTATCCCTAGATATTACTATTTTATTTGATGGAAAAAGATGTCCAATGGAACAATAAAAGTACATGTTGAAGCAGGTACAGAACACCTGAAATTACAAGAAAGGAATCTATTATGATATCAATATTCAAAAACTTTGTAGATGTCATTTTTCTTTTAGTACTGTATATGTCATTGTTTAAAACATAATGAACATCACCATCATAACAACAAACGGTAAACTGCTGTTCATTTAGAAATCCTAACAATGGAACAATTTAAAAGTTGAAACTTGAAACAAACAAAAAAAACACCTGAAAAATACTGTAAAGTTTACAATCCTAATTACTAGCAACTCACGAAAGGATCCAAACAGGTTTGTATTTCAGATCCCAGATCTTCAAAAAATAAAATTAATGTGAATTGTGAAGTCATCATACAAAGAAGTAACAATTTCCTGCATGCTACGGAACAAATCACTGCTAAAATATTAATTACCTTGTCTCGTCCAAGAGCAGCATAGTGTTGTAATCCATTGCAAGAACCATCCTAGAGGGAATCACAATTAAAAAGAAAGAGTAAAGAGCACTGGAGATTTAAGAGAAACAGGAAACTCATTTCAATTGACTTCAAAAAATTTATGCATGAAAAGAGGATCAAGACGAACACCCTAAGCAAACTATAACCTACACATCAAAAGAAAATACTAAACTCGGAATATCTCTAATTGTTTAACTGTAGAGAAGAAAGAAAGACCACGATAGAACAACCGATGAGATGGTAAGTGGATGGCAAAAGGATTAGAGGCACAAAAATAGAGGGTACGTTGGTGAGAGTTGTCAATGAATACCCCAACTTAATATGTATACCTTTTATTTGTTGTTGTTTTCATTGTTA